CCACCCCCAGTACTCACTGCTGCAAGGAGACCCCGAACTGCTGGTTGGGCAAGGGGGGCCGAGGAGGCATGGGCTTGGGCGCGGTCGCGGGGCTCTTCTGCGTGGATTTGAGGAAGTCATCATACCTGAGGCAGACGGAGGAGGTCAGCCTGTCCAGCCCTTGTCTGTGCTCACGGCTGACTTTCTCCGGCATTTGCTAGCACAGTTTTATACGGGTTGTTTCACGAACTCTCAGAGTACCCTACCTCCTGTTCTACACAAGAAAACACACACTGCGGGGACCCAGTCACCTGGGCAGGGCTGCAGCTCAGCAGTAGAGCAGCTGCCTCAAGTGAGCATAGGCAAGAGATTCAGGCACATGGCAGTGACAGACACAGGGTTGGATTTTGCTGTCTGATCTATTTGCTGTCCTGCAAGCCCAGCATTCAGACGGCTGAGACAGGAGGATGGCCACAAGTTTGAGGCCAGCCTGGACTACATAGTGAGTGACTATTTCAAAAAAAACAAAAAACAAAAAAAACCAACCCAAACCCCGCACCCCCCAGTGGCTCATCGTGCCCCACATGGGGCACCGCCTCACTTGAGCACTTGGCGGGGGATCCCCAGCTGCTCCAGCTTCAGGTGCTCGCTGAGCTCACTCAGGTAGTTCGCATAGAGGATCTTGCGTCCGAACTTCAAGCTGTGCAGGAGGAGAGGCCTGGGTCAGCAGGCGTTGGGCCCCAGGGACACCGGACACCGCCTGCCCCAGGCCACTCACCTAATGAGAGGCCTGAAGAGGATGAGCAGGGTTTTGACGAACACAGTGGGGTGTACAATGTACAGGGCTTTGATGTTCTTCTTGTACCTGTGGGGGCAGCATAGGGAACTGGAGAAGGGGAGGGGAGGCTGCTTTGTCTTTTTTTTTTTTTTTTTTTTTCTTTTTCTGAAACAGGGTCTGGCTATGTAGCCCAGGCTGTCCTCGAACTCACAGCGATCCTCCTGCCTCAGCCTTCTGAGTGCCAAGATCACTGGCGTGTGGCACCACACCCAGCTTAGAGCTGGTCCTGGCTGGACACCTGGCAGGTGCAGGAGGTAAGGCTGCCGCGGCGGCCCCACTCTCGGAGAGGCTAACGATCGCAGAGAATACCCCAGCCCTTCCTACCTCAGATTCTCCCATGCACCCAGGAGGGGCGGGGCCCAAGCTGGGGCACCTCGCGTCCGGCCCCACCCACTTGCGATCGAACTCCCGGTAGGCATCGCGCAGCCAGCTGAGCGAAGGCTTGTTGTCACTGGTCAGGCCGTGGTGCAGGTAGAGCAGCGTGTAGTCGCTCTCCACGTACTGGTCCAGCGTGTGCTTCAGGTACCTGTGGGGGAGGGGCCGCTCAGACCGGGCCGAGGAGGAGCCGCCCCCGCCCCATGCCCATCCTGGCACAGCCGTCCAGCCAAGGCCCCGCCCGTTCGCTTAGTCTAAATTGCCCAGGTAGGGCCTGAACTTGGGATCCTCGGAGCCCTGGGATCACAGGCGTACACCCCCGCGCCCAGCTACCAGCTCTCATTTTTCAGCACTCTCGCATGTCCGGAGCCCTGGTCCTGGCCCAGCCCTCTTACTACTTAAAAGGGAATAAACGCCAGGGCCTGGGGCGGGAGTAGGAGGAAGACACATCCCTCCTAACCTCCTTGGCCCCATTTTACAAGAGGGGCAATGAGCCGAGGCATCAGGCGCTCCTCCAACCCCTCACAGCAGCTGGGGCCCGGCGGTGAGGCGCCCCACTCAGAAGCTGGAAGCCTTCACTCCTGACTCTGCGACAGTGAATTCTACAGCAGGCTCTGGGCAGGCTGTAAACAATGTTCCCGAAGGTCACCTGCTCCAGGCACTAGGTTTGCAGTGGACCCCGCTGCAGGTCTCTCCTGCCCATGACGTGGTTTCCACTCCCAACACAACACATTTGCAGGCAAGTCCAGAGGGCAAGAGGGGTGACGGGAGGGGAGGATATTGGGGAAGAAAGAATCAAGATCTATCATGAACAGGGCCAAATGATTCTGGTGCCTGTCTCACAAGCGCAAGGACAGGAGTTGAATCCCCAGTACCCGGGGTGGGGGTGGGGTGCCAGTAAAATTAAAAGAAAAAAAGCCCAGAGGGGAAGCCAGGTGTGGTGGCACGGGCTTGTGATTCCAGCACTGGGAGGCTGAGGCAGGAGGATCACCTCAAGTTCAAGGCCAGCCTGGGCTACATAGCAAGACCCTGTCTCAAAAAGCCAACTGAGGCAGACCAGTGGATCCCCGGCCCTCTTTTGTTGTTTTGAGACACTGTCTCGCTGTACAGTTCAGGCTAGCCTTAAACTCACTGCAAAGCCCAGGCTGGCCTGGAACGCATGGCGATCCTCCTGACTCAGCCTTCTGAGTGCTGTACTGGGATTACAGGCGTGAGCCACCATGCCTAGCAATATGTTGTAATTTTTGGAAGTGATAGTTACCAGAAGCTACAAAACGTTCATATTCTTTTGACCTATAAAACCAGTGCCCCACAGGGAATGTCATCATAGTATACTGCAAACAGGCACTTACAATGTTTTTAATAAAAAACCCAGAGATGAACAGAACATCATGGTAGGTGGCTTTCAATTTAAGACTTTCATGATGGCACAGAAACTGGGCGGCAAGCTCACTGCCCAATATGAGGGGCCCAGAAACAGAGCCACAGAGCAGACAGTGATGAAGTCTGCCGAGACCCCAGCAGCCATGTGAGGTGGACTTGGAGGGACAAAGGGTCCACAGCCATGGGCATGGATGTCCAGCTTGGAAATTCACCAGAAGCTGGCAAGGCGAGAGGGTGCGTAGTCCCACCTCTCAAGAAAAAGGAAAGGAAAAAGAAAGCCAGACACAGTAACGTGCCTATAATGCCAGCCTCTTGGGAGGTTAAGAGGATCACAGGTTCGAGGCCAGCTTGGACAACTTAGTGAGATTCTGTTAAAGGAAGAGACAAAATCGTAGCAAACTTAGATTTGTTCACTTTTCTGTATGCATCTTATATGTCAAAAAACGTGTGAGATTTTTGTGATACAGTCTCGCTATATGGTCCAAGCTGGCTTTGAGCTCATCATGTGGCCCAGGCTGGCCTCAAACTCACAGTTATCCTCCTGCCTCAGCCTCTCAAGTTCTGGGATTACAGGCAAGTGCCACCACACCTGGCAATGTTTTTTATTTATTTTTTTGGGGGGTGCCAGTGATCGAACTCAGATCCTTGTGCTTCCGGGGCAGGTGCCGGAACCACTGAGCTAAATCCCCAGCCCTTGTTTTTTTGTTGTTTTTTTTGTTTGTTTGTTTGTTGAGGCAGGGTCTCACTATGTAGTTGAGACTGACCTGGAACTCACTACGTAGCTCAGGCTGGTCTCAAACTCACAGGGACCCTCCTGCCTCAGCCTCCCAAGTGCTGGGATTACAGGTGTGTGCCACCACGCCCGGCTCTAGCCCTTGGTTTTTTTTGGTACTGGGGATTGAACTCAGGTCCTTGCACTTGCAAGGCAGGCCACCGAACCGCTGAGCTAAATCCCCGGCCCCCAGCCCTTGTTTTTTTAAAGAATGTCTTTGAGGAATGTTTTATGACCAAAAGATTAAAATTAACAGCTATTCCATGTATGTTACAGAAAACAAAACAGGAAGTGAATATAGCACTTCAGGGGTGGGGGGGAAACACTGGGGATTAAACTCAGGACCTTGTACTTGCCAGGAAGGCGTGGTGCCACTGAGCTACATGCCCAGCCAAGCAAAATATTAAAAGTGGTTTTCACTCCAAGTGGTAGATTTGCAGGGGATTTTTTTAATAGTTGTCTACTTTTTCATAGCTGCTTACATTTTACTTACAAAGTATACTACTTTGAAAATGTAAACAGTGGCATTTCATGTGTCTTATCTACTGGAGGGGACTCGATTGTGTGTGTGTGTGTGTGTGTGTGTGTGTGTGCGCGCGCACACGCGCAGGTGGGCGGAGGGAAGCCGGTGGGGACAGAGCGTGAAGCCCGGAAGGGTTATGAGGCCCACAGCAGTTTCCCTCTGCAAGTGCCTGCCTTTGATCTGGTGATTCCCTGACTTCTGCCATGGGAAGTGCTATCTGGCCAGGAATCTATCACCTGGCTCAGCAGACACCTAGGGCAGTGATCAGCCATGCCTGGGCCAAGCTTGTCGGCCTGTTTCTGGCTGGGACCATGGTGGCCTGGACAGGACTCTGCCTGCCCCTTGTGAGCAATAGGAAGAAAGAAAGGAGGAGCCAGAGAAAAAGATTTCACAGGCCCAGCGGGCATGGTGGCTCACACCTGTCATCTCTGCACTTGAGGCTGAGGCAGGAGGACTGCCACAAGGTCAAGGCCACCCTGGGCTACGTAGTGAGACCCTGTCTCAAAAACCAAAAAGACAAAATAACTCACAGCATTGTTGACACCGGCTTCCAGCCCAGCCCAGCTGAAACCCAAGCTTGGGAGTCAGCGCTTCTGCTGTCCGGAACCCACCCCATCCCTGCACACTCACAACCCTACGGGATGTCAAAGAGCTGCTGTGGGCAGCATGGAGTAGGAGAGAAGAAATAAAATATAGGTAGAAAGGAGACAAGGACATTATAACAAAAGATTGTACTTTTTTATTTTTTTTGAGACAGGGTTTGCTATGGAGCCCAGGCAGCCTTGAATTGGCAGCGATCCTCCTGCCTCAGCCTCTCAAGAGCTGGGATTATAGGTGTGAGCCACCATGCCGGGCTCCTGTCTCAAAATTAAAAAAAAAAAAAGGCTTGAGGATGTGGCTCAGGTTCGCTCCCCAGTGCCACACACACACACACAGGCAGTGACTTGTGCCGTGGGGCAGCAGTGCTGAGTAACGGGCAGTTATCAGACGACGTCATTACCAGTCTATGCCCAGCCTCCTTGTGTTAGGAGATGGCTCTGCTACATACGCTTCTCCAACAGAAAGCACTGGCACCAAAGTTAGCACACAATAGTGTAATGGCGGGGGGCGGAATGTTATCACTGTGCACTGCAGCTGCAAACTAACAGTGTGGGTGCCCAGCACTTCGGAGGCTGAGGCAGGAGGACTGCCACAAATTCAAGGCCAGCCTGTGTCACACAGTGAGCTCAAGGCCAGCCTGTACTGCATAGCAAGACTCTGTCTCAAAAAAAAAAGCACTAATATAAAAAGTTTTTAATAGAATATTTCTTATCAATAATTATGAATATAAGTAACAAATATCCCACATCAGAAACACCATCTAATCATTTGGACAGAAATGTTCTTTCCATTTTTCTTTTTGAGAGAGGGTCTCATTGTATAGTCCAGGCTGGCCTGGAGTTCACGAAGATCCTCCTGCCTCAGCCTCCTAAGCACTGGGATCACAGGCGTGCGCCACCGAGCCTGGCCTGGTGTGTCACTTTTCGAGGCTTATCTACACATTTCTACACGCAGACCCGGCTCCACAAGGAGCGGCTGCATTCTCAACCCTCCTGAGAGGTGAGAGGAGGCTCCGAGACCCCTGCCGCTGTCACAGTGCTTCCAGGACTAGAGCAGCTGACTCCCCTCCACCATGGGAGGAGGGAGAACAAGGAGAGCAGCAGGGTGGAGGACTCACCCCAGGAGCTTGCTGTGGTCCAGCTGGTGGCTGGGCGGCATTCGGCAGGCACTGAACACGATGACCTTCCTCCCATACTTGTCATCCCCTAGGCGTGGACAGAGACAGCAGTGGGCGGGTGACGAACTAAAGACGCGAGGGGCTTCATGGGCCACCGTGGAGAATGTGCCGGTGCGGATCCCGCATCTACCTCTGCGAAGCTGCCAGCCTCCAGGTTGGGCCGCTTAGGAAAGAGGGGCTAAGTGGGCCGAGGGAGGCTGAGGCTGAACGATCATCGTTAGTTCGAGGCCAGCCTGAATGACATACCAGATCCTGCCTCAAAAAATAAAAGAAAGGACGAGCTGCTTCCAGGACCACGGAGCCAGGGAACAGAAGACAGCAAGGCCCTTTCAGGCGTCACATCTGTGGGAAACGAGACCCGTGCTCCGTGGGGCTGCTAGGAAGAAGACGTGGACCTCCCTGGAACTCAATCCCACTGGGCCATAAAAAGGAAGGAGACTGTACAAGACCTGCCGCGGACAGGCGGCACGGTAGCACTGAGCTATGTGATAGCAGCCAGGTCCCACTCCTGTCTCCACCCGGAGCTGGCCCGGCCCTGCTGCCCTGAAGGCCTGGCTGCTGCTGCCTCAGACAGGCCAGAGGCTCTGCTCCCCGCCGCCCCACACCCCACATCTGTCTGTGCCTGGGACTCCTCTCCTCCTGTCCCCTCCACGGGTCCTGGGCCTGGAAATGTCCCTTACAGCCTTGAGAGTGCCACCCTTCTCCCACAGCGGATGCGCAGTCCGTCCCTTGTTATGGCTCCTGGCGTAAACCCATCCAGCTCTGCCATGATACAGTGGCTCCCATGTAACTGTTTGTGGTGTTTTCCTCCTCCAGTACTGGGGACTGAAGCCAGGGTCTCACTAAGTTGCTACACTGCCCAAGGTAAGCCAGTCTTGAGATCCTCCTGCCTCAGCCTCCCACACCACTGGATCTACACATGTACACCACATGCCTGGTCTGTTTATTCCCTTGTCTCCTACAGGTTTGCTGGCAGCTCAAAGACAAAGTGTCTCTAGAGCTGCTTAGCACAAGGAAGGTATTCAAGAAGTATCCACAGCTGAGTGTAGTGGTACCTGCCTATAGGCCCAGCTATTGCAGGAAGCTGAGGCAGGAAAATCGCTTGATCACTAAGCCTGAGACCAGCCTGGACAACCAAGTGAGGCCCTGGCTTAATAGCAAGTGTTGTGTGTGCAGCTGCAATTCTGTTTGCCTTTGTGTTTCAGTAAGGAGTTGGCTTCCACGGATAGTGACGGCCCAAAGCCTCGGGCCGAGCTCTGCAGCCTGACATGCAGAGTCCTTCTCAGGCCTGTGTGGAGGGGCCTCAGGGGCCACCGGCTCCCTTCCTGGACCAGGTCCAGAGGCTCTGGCTTCCCTCCGGGGCCACCTGCCTGCCCCATTCGCTTCCCCTGCAGGGTAGGCGGAGGACAAAGGGTCCCGTGGGCAGCCGCGGGCACCATCTGGGGTACAGGGACTGTGTCACCTGCACCCCACCTGGGCACAGGAGCTCAGGAGTGAGGGGTTTGGGAAAGACTCTCCAGGCCCTGCAGGGCCACAGGGCAGCTCTCACTGGCCGGCAGCTCCGGGGACTCAGCCGGGGCAAAAGCTGCGAGCTCCTGAGGCCCCAGACGGACAGAGGAGGCAGTGGTTAAGGAAGAAGGTTGGAAAAGGGGCTTCCTGGGTCCACAACCAGTGCTCCAGAAATGGACTCACAGGCCTAACTCCATGATGGTGCATGAAAAATACTACGTACATGCATCTTGTTTTCTAGACCTTGTTTGAGACCTTGTCTCAAAAACCAAAACCAAAACAAAACTAAAGGAGTCAGAGGACAGGACTCCCAGACAGCAAGGACTGAGGGTATGGGCACCCTGGAGTGTAGCCGTGCCCTTCCACTCCCTGATGCCCCACGGCGGGCCTCTCCCAGGTGGCTCTGGTGTTACCAGCACCGAGGGTTCCTCTCCACCAGGCCAGGCCCAGCCACCCTCCACCTGCCAAACAGGCCCGAGCAGTTTGCTAAGTTGTCACGTTACCCACGGTGATCAAACTCAAACGCCACCAACGCTGGCACAGCCTGCTGGGAAATCCCGGCACAGGCACACAGGAGGGACGCACCCAGACCATCTGACCAAGGAGTTTGACAGCCCCTGCGCTGGGGGCGGCACAGGCTGCCAAGGAGTCGGGACAGAACCCACCCTCGCTTCCCATAAGGGCTCTTGCTTCAGTTTCTTTTCTTTTCTTTTTTTTTGGAGACAATTTTGGTATTTGCTCAGCCTGGCCTTGAATGCACCCTGTAGCCCAGACTGGCCTTGAAGTGAGCTCCCGGGTGTTGGAATCACAGGTGTGCGGCACCATTCCAGCCTAGGGGCTGGGTCTGTCTCCACACAGCCTCCTCCCTGCCCCGCCTCCCATAAACTCTGCCATTCCCAGTTCCCAGGCAACACCAATCCCTGCTCCCCACACCAAGAGCCAGACCTGATCCCTCCAGCCGAGGCACAGCCCTGAGAAGCCAAGGACAGGGCTGGACAGACACCTGTCTCAGCCTCGGCACACACTGGGGAAACAAGGGGACACCGAGCAGGCAGGAGGGCAGCCTCAGCCAGCTTTGTCCGGGGGCTTGACCGAGACCAGGACGATGGCAGCGTGGACTCCTGCGTCTCCCAGCAGGGACAGCTGTGCCTCTGACAGGCAGAGGGGCCAGAGCCCTGGGCGGACCCCAAGCACAGACACCACAGGAACACAGTGGACGGGAGGGGGAGTTTCTTCTAACGCCTGCCCATCTGAGCCAGGCATGAGGCTTCTCCCAGGGACACATTCTACTGCCCCCCAGCTGCAACACTGGGCCAGTCCGTCCCCTGTCGGCTCATGGCAGCCTCTTTCAGTAGCAAAAGCTCCCCACGTCCCAGGGAGGGGGCCCTGCGTCCCTCCTCCTCGCAAGATGGAGAAGCTGACAGCAGGGCCGAGGGTGGGGAGGGGACCTGACAAGGGGAAAGGAACAGACACTATTCAGGGCCAGCAAGGTCCTGGCTCCGGGCTAGGCCCTGACGCACTGTCACTACTGTGAACCTCTCCGTGACCCCACTGGGACCAAAAGCCAGCGCTGTGTGAGTGGGGCTCCAAAGCCTCCAGGGGCCGTCTCCAGGCAGGAAGTGGTACCGGCGGTCATCCAGCGTGGCGGGCACAATCAGCTGCGTGGTTTGGGAAAGGTCTGTGCCCTCAGGAGCCTCGAGACTGGGGTCAGCCCGCAGGGGGGGTGGTCACTGTGTCCTGTCCCCGCCTCTGGAGTCAGGCAGTGAGGAGAGGGGCGGCCCTGGGCCCACTCACCTGCCACCTCCACGATCTGGTGCCGGGCAATGTCGTAGTAAGGGTCGTCCCACTTCAGGTGTGTGACAGGCTCGGGAGAGCTGCTCTTGGAGTCATCTGAGGATGGCAGGGTTGGGCACGGCGCGTCAACTACCCTGGAGGCCCGGTGCCCTGGCTCACCCGAGACGCGGGTCTGAGTGCCCCCTGCCCGCTGGGCGCTCCCTGGGTGTCCACCTGACTTAGGGAAGTCCGGCATGTCGTCCGAGGGCCAGTTCTTCTCATCGATGGAGGCCAGCTTGAGCTGGTTCAGGCCGGGGCTATCGAGGGTCAGGTCATCCTGCAGCTCAGAGAGCGGGTCCATGGCCGAGTCCACAGCAGAACCTGAGACAAACCTGGGGAGGTGGGGCTGGGGCCAGGGATGCCTCTGTCACCTTCCAGTGCACCAGGCCTCCCTCTCCTGGCTCCCTGTCCCTGTTCCTCAAGGCTCCTCAGTCTGCCAAAGCTCCACGAGCCCGATGCCAGAAAAGGCAGCTGGCAGAGGGTGGCACAGCTCGGCACCTCGCTCCAGGTCCTCGCCTGGGTAGGAAGCCTGTGCCAGGCTCCCACTGCCTGTCGCCCACCTGTCCTCACCATGCAGTCTCTGCCGCAGAGGGTGAGGGCCGCACCCTCTCCTCAGGTGTCCCGGAGCGCACAAGCCTCACAGATCTCAGCAGCTACAGGCATAATGTTACAAGAATCTAGGGATCTCCAAGCCAGGCGTGGTGGCTCACACCTGTAATCCCAGCGCTCAGGAGGCTGAGGCAGGAGGACTGTTGTAAATTTGAGGCCAGCCTGGGATACATAGTGAGTTAAGACCAGCCTGAACTACACAGTGAGACCCTGTCTCACAAAATCAGAAAGTAGGGCTGGGGATGTAGCTCAGTGGTGCTGCGCCTGCCTTGTACGCCCATGGTTCTAAGTTCAATTCCCGGTACTACAGAAGAAGAAGAAGAAAAAAGAAAACCAGAAAGAATCTAAAGGTCTCCAAATGCCACATCTGAAAAAGGCCAGCTATGGGCCTGGCTACTCCACCCCTTCCCATGGCCTGCAGAAAAGGTGACCAGGATTGACAGGGACCCAGAAGAGCTGTGGCTCTAGACC